AGACACACAAACAGACACACAGACACACAGACAGACAGACACACAGACACACAGACACACACACACACACACAGACAGACCCACACACACACACACAGACACACACACACACACAGACACACACACTTAGAAAGACACACACACACACACACAAACAGACACACACACACACCTCTACCCGCCCGCCTGCACATGTACACACCATTACACACCAGCACGTACGCGGCCCACCCGTCACACACTCGCACACACCTGCAAACACCTCACACATCCCGACGATCACCCACAACTACATGCATATGCACAGACCCATAATCATGCACACTTGCTCATGCCTCGCCATCCGACGCCCACGTCCACGCAGCAAAGCGCACGCGGTGATTTGGATGGTCGGAAGGAGGAACAGAGAAAAGGTAACAATGACATTCGAAGCCGATTGAAGCCCCATGGGCACCGCTCCAAGCCTGTAAGCGGCAAGGTCCTGCGCTTCAATGCAGCCTCCTACTCCGAGCAAGGCTTCAGAGCAACAATGGAGGTTGCAAGCTGAGCATCGGGCTTCGAGGGTTCTGGTCCAGAACTCCAAAGTTGGAGGCCTAGAGTTGTGAATGCTCGCTTGGTGACCTCACAGGCATTGGGAACTGGGATACGTTTGGGTCAATATCCGTACGAGGGATTTCTGACACTTACCGGCGAAAGCACCGAACACTTCGGCCACAGGCGCATTTTCCGACGCACAATCTTCTTAAGTCTGCCGAGTAATGACACGCTACTGTTTGGGTCTCGGCATATCTCAGGACGAGGACATCCTGGTGCAAGACCTGGCCACCTCAAACTGGCGGCCGGGTCCTCGTCGATCCCAAAACAATTCCAACTCAGCGTAGTTTCCGAGCTTGTGGTGCGAGCATGGGCAGTTCAGATAGTTGTCCGAGCTGGCTTGGAGCACATTCGAATGCGATTCCGGGTCGGGGCCATTTGCTGTGTGAACTTGCAGAAGAGTGCAGGGCCTCCATATTGCTCGCGCGGCTTGCTCGGGCCGCCGATGTAGCTCAAAGTACTCCGGACCGGCTCATGATGGCGCATATTGGCTCTTCTCGTTTTGAGAAACATTCACGAAAGGAAGCTCGTGGACCTGTCTCAATGCATGAGGCAGTGCTCCTACTTCGGTATCTACGACGGACATGGCGGCCGTGACTGCGTGAACTTCGTGTCCCGGGCCCAGCACGACCGATCACATGCGTGTCAAGTCCTTCGTTTTGGACTTGTCTGTCGGTGTGTCGGTGTGGGTGTGTGTGAGAGAGAGAGAGAGAGAGAAATAGATGTAGAGACAAAACATGTCTTGCACAGAGGAGAGATTTCGTTCGTGCTGTCGCCTGTCGGGCCAGAACAAATTGAAAGTTGAAACCGTGGTGTTTACTCGTATCTACTTGTAAGAGCAAACTATAACACGTTTCTCGGTCTGTCATTGCTGAGACTGTTATAGTGTGGGAGCTTGGGCCCTCAAGATCTGATGAAAGCGTGCGTGACTCTCAAATTGTGAAGCCCCGTGCTCGTAATGTTATAACTGCAAATCAATCGGCGCAAGCACACACACGCTATGCTGTGACAAAGGCGCCGACGGCTACACATCAACATCATCGCCGCTCTCCACTCTAGAGGAGGGTTGGACAAGTCGCTGCAGGCCGTCGGACTTACCGGGCCCGGATCGCGGTGCTTCTTTGCGGTGCTTCTTTTCGACCTGCAACAAGCTTGTTCTTCTTGGTTATCAAGAGTGATATTCCATGATTTTCTACCGTGCTGGCACTTGTCGCTCCGTTTGCACTAGGTCGCCCCGGAACCAGT